TGGCAAGAGCAGAGGGGTTCTGTGGATTTTTTTAATAGAACAAAACAGGGAATTTCTGTGGGGAGGGACGAGGGAAGATTTTTGACGTAGCCCGCTGGATTACAAAGCCCAACATCTGGAAGCTTGATCCCCATAACGCTGCTAACTAGACTGATGTGGAAACAAGTTGTGCTGCGTTCTCATCTTCAGCAACTAGGACCAAGGGAACTTGTCTTTGTCCGACTCTGCTTTCAACTGCCATAGGCTGAGACATGCACGTACAGGCAATCCATTCAACGCGCTCACTCTGACTGTTAAGTGTAATTAGTTCAGCCCCCCCAAAACAAAAGAACACCCAAAAATGGTTGAGGCAAGGAAACCTTGGTAGGCGCTGCAACACATGAAACTCTGCCACTCAGTGGATTACCGTTCACAGAACATGGCGAGTGTGTGTTTGTCTTTTTCAGGACATGCCGTTTCATGATGGCATCTTTCTGTGAGGCAAAATTGCGCATTCTTCAAGGGTCTGATGCGGTCCGGTCGATCAACTTGGCTTCCTTTGATACGGGTCTATGATACGGGTGCGGCTTTTGTTTCGCGTACCCCTTTTGGATGGTTTGAAAAAGATCCAAAAGGAAAACCGAAGCCATTTTGGGGGGTCCGAATCCCCAAAAACGACGAGGCACCCATGATGCGGATGGACGAAACCCATCTCGCACCACCTACGAAACCCTGGACTGATTCGATTCCCCTGTCGATGCCAACCTGATGGTTTCAACCATGGCTTCATTTCATGGTGCAAATTGCATTTCGTCCACAGCATCTCTCTAAACTCTTCTGCTGCCTCACACCCATTCATCTCTACTGGATCGAAGGCTGAACTTTGGTTTACCAAAACGGTCCAAGCCCAAAAAGTGAACGGAACTAGGTCCTCCAGATTTGAGAGGTTAGAATAAGGCTTCACCCTCCCAACCAAACAAGTTTTAGCGAGAAAGGGCACCAATTGCTGGACCTAGTGAAGTGGATGAGCTCAGGAAGTGATCAACTCTCCAACTCGAGAGACTCTGGGAAAGGAAACAGCAAATAATAATAATAACAATAATAATAGTAATAATAATGATATCTATATATATATATATATATGAAAATAAAACATTTCCAGTAGTGAAATCCGATGCCCATTAAAACCAACATAAACAATTAAATAAATATTCATTTCAGCAAATGGCCATGACCCTTAAAAAATGGGTCCATGACCCCATACATTTTGGGTCATGACCTTTATTCAAGGGTCGGAAGGAGACTCCAGGTACTCGAGATATTTCCAGTAGTGAAATAAATTTCCTTTATAACCAACAGTGGGAAAAAACACATATTCTTAAGCAAATATGCAAAATATGTATTTCAGCCAGTGAACGTTTCTCTCTCCAACCGATCGAAGGCCTCGGTTTCTGGGCCCCCCCGGCGATGGAGGTGGAGGACATCCGCCGGAAGCGGCTGTTCTCCCTGGGCGCAAGCTCCCGGCGCACCCCCTCGCGGCCTGACGCGCAAGCGGGGCTTTGGTTCGAGGAGAAGGCCTGGGTGCGGTTTGCGCTGCCGGAATCCACTTCACTTGGGTGCTGTAGATCCCGCAGCAAAAAGTTGTTAACTGTTTGCTGGTTAAAAGGAAATCCAAAAAGTTAAAGTCCAAAAGACCCCTTGATGGGGCCCAGTGCTTCTCGATCTGAAACCACGCGGGTTTGTGTATGACTGGTTGTTGTGGGGTAAAACGTTTTCTGTGGTTTTATACGGACACCAAAGGGAAACGCCCCAGTTTGACGAGCAAGGCCTGGGTGCGGTGTGCCCAGCTGCCGGAATCCGCTTCATACTGTGGATGGAAAAGCAAAATCCAATTCGCGCCACGAAATGAAACCATGTTTGAAACCAGAACGTTTGCTTGGTATTTACAAGGGAATCATCAATCCAGGGCTTCTTAGGTCAGGATTTCGTCTATCCACAGTATGGGTCTGGTTTTTTGGGGTACCCCTGTTTTTGGTGAAAGGAACAACATTGCTGTTTCCGTTTTGTTGGGGGGGAGGTCACTAAAAGAAGCTGTCAAAAATGGTGTGACCCAAATGTCGCAACCAAAAAGGGGTTCCCAAAAAAAGATTGACGCACCCATGTCCCTTGTACAAACCGCGGCTCACACTGGACCTTTCAGCTTCTCTTTCGAGAGGCGTTTGGACGATCTGCTTTTGTGACGGGACGGATAGCTCCACTGCCAGGTCAAACAGAACGAAACTCCCCTATTTGACACATACCCCTGTGATAAGCAAATAGGACCCTGTCTCGCTGGATGGTGTTAGGGAAACCAACAGGCAAGATCCAGCTCTTGCTTGCCCAGTTCAGACGATGTGGTCCAAGGGAAAACCAAAAGGTCAAGAGGTGAGCCTTGCTCTTCCAAACCATGCAGCACACTAGCAAGACTTCGGGGCGGTAAGGCCATCACGCCAAAAGAGGCTACAAAAAGGTTCCTTTGAAACAAAACATGTAGTTCAGTGTTGTTGCTGTTTGGTAAAAACATGTACACCGAAGCAAACCTGCATAATTCTGACCAATTGTTGATAACGCTTTGGTCAGCAAACTGGGAGCTATAGATTGGCGAGCAGCCATGTTGTTCACTAACCGACCAACAACACAAGTTTGAACCACTTCTAACCAACGTCTAGCCAGATGCCCCCAAATTGAAAGGCAGGGTTTCTGTCCAGCTAGTGCGCCACCATCGGGGCCTCTAAAAAACCACTTTGGCCCTTCAGTCTAAAATACAAGTTTACTGCAACATTATCTAAACAAGCTTTGGCTACAATATAGGATCTTGAAACTACCTTCTTTGGATTCCAAGGAGATTGGGAAAACAGACACTGCCTTTAAACAAATCCACTCACCAGCTCGCCTTGGTCCGCAAATACGATGTAGCAATGTAAGCCGCCGAACAGCACTAGGGCAATGCAGCACAACTCGTCAAATGGTTGTGGCTCAAAATTACAGAGCTAGGCTAGCTAGGGTTACGCAGGTTTTAGTCTCTGGTTCCATGAAGCAAAATACCATGTTGGTACATGTTTTTGACCCACAGCCAAATTGTGCTGCGTGCAATGGCAACTGACAATCAAAATCGGGCAAGCGTTTCACCTTTTGGTCCACATGAGATGCGTATGGGTCAAAATATGTCAAAATTAAGCCACCAGGGGACCGCAGGTTTGAGTCCCTGGTTCTATTTACTGGGCATATTTTTGACCCACAGCCAGATGTCAGTTCTCATTGAGCTTGCCTCAGGACAGCCCCCCAAACCCTATCTCCACGTGCGCCTGCCACCTGAGCCCACAAATGGTTCAGGCCGGTGTTTCCGTCCTGAAGGCTCAGGCCAACTTCGAAGCCTGAAACCTGAAACCAACGTACGCGTATACACCATATAACTGCAACAAAACGAGACGCCCGGGTATAGGTGTTAAATCTTCGTGGATCTTCGGAGCATAACGTTAATATTCCAACTGCAGGTTTGTGTAGTTGTTGAAACCACAAAACCACATGAACATGTTTTTCTTTAAACAACAAAACAACAATACAAACAACACACAAGCACATCAATATATTCCAGCTGCTAGTCGCCCACCTAGCGCCTTGCAGGGGGTCCGTCAGTTTTGGACTGGACCGCATCAGTGGGAAGCATGCAAGCAACATGTTGCATCCAGTCAATGGCCTTACTGTGGCTGGACAAAGTCCACCTCGCACCAGTTGGGATACTAGGTCCTCCAGTAGAGAGATTAGAATAAGGGAACCAACTTTTTTCCGCAGTCTATGTTAGGGGAACCCTCCCCAAAAAAAGGGTAAAAGGGCACCACTGGGGCACCTGGGATAGGTGATTTGTACGGTTTTATTCACATGCGGCGAAACATATATTTTGTGCATCCACAGCTCCAGCCACGCGAAACTTCTTGAGAGCTTGACGACCGGATCCCGAAACAAGGTTTTTTGCATATCCGGTTCAACATCAACAACTCTCCGCACAAATCCGCCTACTCCAGCAGGCGTAGCTGTGTGTTGCCAACGAGTCCGTACGATTTGCGAGCCCAATGGTGGGAAAAAAAACGACCTTCTGTTGGAAGTTGACTTGGTGGTTTGGTGCTTTGGGATGGTTTCCCACCTCCAAACCACTAGGGTGGGAATTGATCTGAAGGCGTGCGTACATGTTTGCAATGCCGTGGGGGAAAAGCGCCTATCATGTGCCACCAATCAAAGGATGCCTGAAGTTCTTCATTGTGGCCACTATGTCGCCAAACGACGGTCTCGGAGATGTGACTCTCCGAGTCCCGTCCTTGAAGTGCGTGAGCGCAAGATGGTATGCCTGCGAGTCTGGGACACGGATGACAAAAGCGTCTGTTCTTTGGAGCTTCTGACAAAAAAAGAGCTCAGAGAACCAGAGGCTCAACTGACAGCACAACTTGCAATTGGGGCATATGTGCGGCGATCCCAAGAAGCAAGAAGAGACACACACACACACACCTTACTTACCCAATGTCCATGACCAAAAACACGAGGCTTCATGAAGAACACCCACACGGGTGCCACTGGACGAGACCCCGGAAAACCCTCAGCAGCCCATCAAAGAGATGGCGACACCTCGCCTTTCCGGCAACGACACGAGTGTCTCGCTCGCGCGCCATCTCAATCTTGGGATCGAGGGAAGGTTGCGACCCACTAGCAGCCAACTGGTGGCCCAAGCCTTTGACACTCTGGTGCTTGCCGGTTGTCCCGCAGACTCCTATACTCATCATGGCGACACTCATCGCGGTTCCCTTTTCCGCGCCTGGTGTCACAGGCACGCGGAAGCCGCGCATCAAAGGGGTCACTTCCCCATTCTTTCTCCGGCATCCCTCTTTCCAGCAAAGAAACAAACACATTTTTGCCAGCTCCCGAATCAACCGACTCCAGACCCCATGGTTGACCCAAAACGCGCACGCTCGTTTTCCCGCTTCTCCGCGGGTTTACGGATTGAGCCCGGCCTCCAGCAGATTCTCGCGCCAAATGATGAAGGGAAAGGTGGCCTTGGTGGCCGCCTTGGCCATCTGCCAGTACTGGGGCTCCTCGCACGCGAGCGAGCGACGGAGCGAATGCGAGCGGAGCGGTGACGCGCATCTCTCGCAAGGATCGGAAGCGAGCCATCGTCGGTGTGTGGCTGTGAAATACATATCTACGTCAATGCCCAGGCAAATCTATCACGAAGAGAATCAACACAAAATAAATAAATAAATAACCAAAACACAACAACGAAATGAATGGATGGAATGTGTGCATAAGTAAACAAAAACGCTTAACATTGCACCAACCTAATAAAACAAAAAGGGAAAACACACACATAGACAATACTTTGATCAACAAGTAGGCCGACAAAACAAAAAAAGACACCACACTTGCCAGCTGTGGGCATTTGCGGCCAGGACGCGGGCAGGTCCAGCGCATAGTCGATGGCGCAGTAGAAGGCTTCGATCAGCATGTCTGGCGCATCTGCATTCCTTGGAACGTGGAACAAACGGTTTATATATATATATACACCCTCCCACCAGCTAACATGGAAGTGAACAAACCCCTCTAGAAAGACTACTTTCCTCTTGGAAAGGGCCTTTTTGTACTTCCATGTTAGTTGGTAGGAGGGTATGTGTGAACAAACGGTTTATATACATATGGCCATGGGTCAAAAGCCCGTACCCCCAGTGAACATCCCAATCCCCACTAAAATAAACTAAAATGGGTGGTGCACCTACCCCAAAATGGTACCATTGGTTTTGACCCACAGCCATTTTCATTTATGCATAATTGTATGCAAACAATTATGAAAAACAAGTGAAACCCATCTATCTTTAACCAAACGAACCTAGGACACCTATGTTTAAGAGTTGCCAAACAAATCCCTCTGCTTGGCTGCCACTACCATAATTTACAATTGGTGTTGACCCCGGATGAATGAACCTGTCCCATCAATAGGGGGAGTGTTAGTACTGTGTTCCCCTCCAACAGTGATGATTCCCCTCTGAACCCAGGGACACCCCCTATTAATAAACTGGGGTTGATTAATCTAGGGCTAACATTCAAAGGCTGAAGATGCGACTCTCTCCTTGTCCCTTGACTCCTTTTCTTACAGGGAGCATAAGCTAAAGCTGCCCGGGAACCAATTCCTGGATCTCCTTCGGGCCACGAACAAACATCAAATCCGGAGGTGCAAGTCGCACACATCCTCATGCGACTGCTGTCGGGCAAAGGTCGGGCAATCTTATGGCATGCGGGCGGCCACCAATCCCATGTCCCGTTGATCTCTGGATGCACAACTGTTCCGCCTTGGGGTCGTTCAGCAACTTCCTGTCTGAAAGCCGTTTCATCTAAGGTTCTTTTTAATCACTGAGCCAATTGCTAACTCCAGCTGTCAAAACAAAGGCCAGACGACATGTCGTAAACATTTCACACGACGTGGATCAAACCGTCAAACCGGCTGATTGGTTCAACAACATACGGCCAGAAACCCGTTCAGGGCGCCCAGCTTCCAACCCACTGAAGGGTCAGCACCTCTGTGTGCCACTCTTCAGCTTCCCCCAGATCTGTGGTTTGGATCGGGAAATTTGGTGGTCGTCCCTTGGTTGCCGTTGACCCCCTGCAAAAAGTTTAACTTTTTGGCGGTTTAGTGAAAAACGTTTTGAATTCCCAAAAAGTTAAAGTCTAATTGTCCAACCCAATAGCAGTCAAGTTCCGGGCTGGTTTCCCACTTACCCTCTGCAAGAAACAACAAAATGTTGGTTTGGATTGGTGGTAATTTCCACCAATTGAGCATACCTACGGTTCCCTGACCTCTTTTTTCACGCAAACCAGTCCCACAAACGAGACAAAGCGAGGCGCTGCTGGCGGAAGTAGACCCCCGGCATCTTCCCGAGGCCTCCGATCGCGCAACCCACAGAGGGGACCCCCAGCAGGCCGAACTCCACATCCACATAGCCTCAGTGCCAGTATCGTCTCGCGGGTTGCCTGCGGGAGATCTTCTTGCACCAAAAAGTGGGTGGTCAGCTTCTAGGAAACTTAGATGGTTTTTGGGTGTGGTTGCTAGGGATTTTCGGGTAGTGTTGAGGGAAACCAACAGGAATAACGTTGCGACATGTTTTTTCTTTTGGGGGGGGGGGGAGTCCGCGTCTCTGGTGCGGATTTTCCTACACCAATTCTGGCGGTTGTCGGTTTTAGGAAACAGATGGGCTATTCATGGCTCATGCATTCTAAGAGAAGCTCCGTAAGCTCAAGCCTTGGTATGGAGCGACCAAACTGATTGTTTTTTGTGCAGCCCCTAAGCCCCCTACTAACTAAAGCTGAACAACAGGAAACAAATCTATAAACAGGCCGAGAAGAGTGAAGGTTCCTCAGTTCCTCGATCCCTGCCCCATTGCTCCAGGAATCCCGCACTCCTGTATCAAAGGGCACTAGTATTCCCCGTAAAAGGAAAAAATAGATCACCCTAGAAAAACGGTCACCCTCCCCACTTCCACATCTTTTTGGGTAGGTGGGACCCCCCCCCCCCCCAATTCCACGTCTTTTTGGGTGGGATCCCCCCCCCCCCTCAGGTGCCCCCAAATCCCCACGCCGTCGGATCCAAGCCGTCGCATCGGGCCGAGGCGCCGAAGGGCTCCGAGCAGCTGGGCGTGAAGCAGAGGTGGGCGCCGCGCCGCAGCTCCCCCGGGAGCCGGAAGAACTCCGTGCACACGAAGAGCCGGCCTCCGCGCGCGCGGAGACGCGGAGAGAAGCGCGAAGCAGACGCGGGAGCTAAGCGGGGAGCGAACGCGCGCAGCCAGAAGCGGAGAAGCGCTGAGGAGGGGAGCTCGGAGGTGTGATTTTTTGGGTGTTCGGGGTGGAGTTGCTCCGGGTTTGTTTGCTTTGATTTGTTTGGGAGGTGGAGAACCAGTTGAGAAGTGGAGTTCGGAGGTGTTTTTTGGTTGGGTTCATGCTTGTTCCCCTTTAATTAACTTAAGATACCTCTCAGAATAGAAGGCTGAATTGCTTGGGTTCACATTTGTTCCCCTGTCCAAAAAAGAGTCTAACTTGAGAGACTCCCATTGGCAAGGTGGTTAGGGGTGGTGGGTTGAGCAGCAAATGGAGTGGAAATGCTCGGAAGTGATTTGTAATGTTTTACATGTCCTTGTGTGGGGGTTGAGGGTGAAGGATTTGACAGACTTTGGTTTTGCCGGGAGGTAGCGAGGCTTCTGCAAACCATATCTCTTGCATGACGTCTGGTCCAAAGTGGAGGTCACTAGAGCCAGTCGTCATAAAGTCCATGCTGTCTCAGAGTCTCCGGTGGGCATCACAGAGCCATGATAGTGAGGCTTCCCAGCACCCTTCAACCGGCAAGAACACACTTGGAAGCTGTTCTCTTGAATTCATCAGAATCCAAATGTCCAGATTCTGGCGTTCCGCCTGGAGCAAGGGAGTGGAGGAACCCCGCCCTTTTCAGCCCCCAAAGGCATCACAAATCCGGCTGCTCGGTGTGCCAGTGTACATGGCCCGAGAGGCCATACAATTCTCAGAAGTCCTCATTGGGATCCGAAAAGCAACCAGCAATCGATGAACTGCCTTCCAAAGCATTTTTTCTTTAATGCAGGCTTTTTTTGCCCCAGCTTGCCGCACTCAAACCTATTCCACCCTTGTCCGAGAAAGCAGGCAAGAATACTTCGACATGGTGACATAGTTTGATGTTCCCAAGGCAGAAGTTGTGACTCTGCCACCACCAATCTCCAGTTAGGTGCCGCCACCTCCTATCCATCAGTGTGAAGGACCCCGTATGGTAGGCCTAAAATGGCTGTTCCTTTTGGTTCCCCATATGAAAAAGGCCAACCGACCCCAAAAAAGGCACCCTCCAGAAAAGACGCACTACTGCAAGGATCCTTACAATATTCCCTGAACATTGCCTTGTTTCTGGTGGTTTCCCTTTATTTCGGTGTTGAAAAAGCCACATGTTTCAAATGGTTGCAACATGTATCTTTTAAGGAGCCCTGCCAAAACATGATTAGAGTTAGGCCCAGTTATAGAATGTATATTTTATTGTTTGCCTTCCTTTGAGTCACGGGTAAAATGTAAAATGTATCCTTAGTCTACCCCAGAAAAAAAATGGTACCCTCAAGAAACTGCTCCCAGAGCCGCCCCCCGCGCCGTGCGAAGTCTGGCCTTTGAAGATGGACTTCAAAGGAGCCAGCAGCTCTTGCGCATAGAGCCCGAAGGCGTCGTCCGGCGGCCCTGCGGAGTCGCGGAGTCGCTGCGGAGTCGCTGCGGGAGGAATTTGTTTCCGGCCCGGGAAGGGACTCCTTCGATTTGGTCAAGACCCCCTGGAAAAGATGCGAAGATATGTCCAGTAGTGATGGATTCCCTTTAAAACCAACAGGGGAAACTAAAAAACATACTCTTCAGAAAATGGACTCGGAGAGTTGGGCTTAAATGAAATCTCCAGTTGGTTTCCTGTACCTGTTGCTCCTTCCACGCTTAACAAACTTCCAAAGGGGGGCGTTTTTGCTGCTTTCTGCTTTTTGGTATGCGGTATGCTCAAACCTATCTTATGTCCGAGAATGGGTGAGGACCCACCTGTTCAATGGTGATGCATTTGAAGGTGCTATAGGTCCTATATTTGGAAACATCTGTGGATCCAAATCAGGCCCCTGCAATGGTTGGTTTCCCTTTGCCCAAGCCAGGCCTGAGACAAAGCAATGTGTGCTTTATTGGAACCAACACACTGATTGCAACCACTCTGATCAGTCCTATTGGTCAGCTTGAATATGGTAAACGGCAACAAAAACTGAGGAAGCACCAAAGGACAGTTATCAGGGGTGAGCATGGCTTGCTTTACCCCAAGCTCCTCATAGATGGCAGGTCCAAATCCGTAAACAACACCCGCGGTCTATCTGCACATCCATCTGCTTGCAGGTACCATTGTAGCCTGTACTAGCCCGCCTGCCAAGACCATCTGAACCTCACGGCGGCTTCGCAGAATGTCCTGCAACAGCCATTCGCTTTCTAGTAGGGGAAGCCCTGAGAACATGCACACACTGTGAGAGAACAAGTACCTTTTTCTACATGCCTTCAATATCGGAATGCGTTCATGTATGTATACCTGTGTATACGTTTGCATACCAAGGTGTTTGCGTGTTGCACGCCTCTATGCATACCAGGTTCTACCTGTGAGTATGCATGGACGCATGATTGACTGTAAACATCTGCGTGCAAACGTCTGTATGCATGCATGTATGTATGCATACCTGCATGTCTGTCTGTATATGTAGGTGTATGAGTATGTGCATGTGCATGTGTCTGTGTATGTGTGTGTGCGCATGTAGGTATGCATGTATGCATGTATGCATGTATGCATGTATGCATGTATGCATGTATGCATGTATGCATGTATGCATGTATGCATGTATGCATGTATGCATTGCGTGCGTGCGTGCGTGCGTGCGTGCGTGCGTGCGTGCGTGCGTGCGTGCGTGCGTGCGTGCGTGCGTGCGTGCGTGCGTGCGTGCGTGCGTGCGTGCGTGCGTGCGTGCGTGCGTGCGTGCGTGCGTGCGTGCGTGCGTGCGTGCGTGCGTGCGTGCGTGCGTGCGTGCGTGCGTGCGTGCGTGCGTGCGTGCGTGCGTGCGTGCGTGCGTGCGTGCGTGCGTGCGTGCGTGCGTGCGTGCGTGCGTGCGTGCGTGCGTGCGTGCGTGCGTGCGTGCGTGCGTGCGTGCGTGCGTGCGTGCGTGCGTGCGTGCGTGCGTGCGTGCGTGCGTGCGTGCGTGCGTGCGTGCGTGCGTGCGTGCGTGCGTGCGTGCGTGCGTGCGTGCGTGCGTGCGTGCGTGCGTGCGTGCGTGCGTGCGTGCGTGCGTGCGTGCGTGCGTGCGTGCGTGCGTGCGTGCGTGCGTGCGTGCGTGCGTGCGTGCGTGCGTGCGTGCGTGCGTGCGTGCGTGCGTGCGTGCGTGCGTGCGTGCGTGCGTGCGTGCGTGCGTGCGTGCGTGCGTGCGTGCGTGCGTGCGTGCGTGCGTGCGTGCGTGCGTGCGTGCGTGCGTGCGTGCGTGCGTGCGTGCGTGCGTGCGTGCGTGCGTGCGTGCGTGCGTGCGTGCGTGCGTGCGTGCGTGCGTGCGTGCGTGCGTGCGTGCGTGCGTGCGTGCGTGCGTGCGTGCGTGCGTGCGTGCGTGCGTGCGTGCGTGCGTGCGTGCGTGCGTGCGTGCGTGCGTGCGTGCGTGCGTGCGTGCGTGCGTGCGTGCGTGCGTGCGTGCGTGCGTGCGTGCGTGCGTGCGTGCGTGCGTGCGTGCGTGCGTGCGTGCGTGCGTGCGTGCGTGCGTGCGTGCGTGCGTGCGTGCGTGCGTGCGTGCGTGTGTGCGTGCGTGTGTGCGTGCGTGCGTGCGTGCGTGCGTGCGTGCGTGCGTGCGTGCGTGCGTGCGTGCGTGCGTGCGTGCGTGCGTGCGTGCGTGCGTGCGTGCGTGCGTGCGTGCGTGCGTGCGTGCGTGCGTGCGTGCGTGCGTGCGTGCGTGCGTGCGTGCGTGCGTGCGTGCGTGCGTGCGTGCGTGCGTGCGTGCGTGCGTGCGTGCGTGCGTGCGTGCGTGCGTGCGTGCGTGCGTGCGTGCGTGCGTGCGTGCGTGCGTGCGTGTGTGTGTGTGTGTGTGACGGGCGACAGTGTCTGCCATGCAGCAACTTCTGAATCATGATGCTTATCACCTGGCTATTCAATCATTATAAATGCCAAATGAATGTGCCAACTAAGACAACAAGCTGCTGGCCGCTGTAGGCCTTCAGAGTTCAGACAGTGGTCTTTCCATGTGATCCACGGCAATATGAAGCTGAAGCACGCACGACTTATCGGCCAAATCGCATTCCGACTCTATCATTGTGTAGCTTGCCTGACCTTTCCAGCAGTCGAAACCTTACAGGATGATTGACAGACCATTTCCCTCAGAGTGGGAAGAGGACATCAAGCCTCACATGGGCAGGTGTTTCCTTTGAGGGGCCTTTTTTTTGTTTTGAGGGGGGGAGGCTTGACAAAGAAACCAAAAAAAAAGCGGGTTTGGGACTGGGTCCTCCAGTGAGGTTAGATTAAGGGTACCGTTTCTTTTTTCGGAGTCCTCCCCCAAACTGGGCTGGAATTAGGACCCCAGCAAAAAAAACTAATTTTTGCCTGGTTAGTGGAAAACAAAGGGACCCCAAAAAGCCAAAAATCAAAAAGGGGAGCTAATTCTGGCAAAGCAAAAAGTTGGTCAAAGGGCACCTAGCTGGACCTAGGGCCGGTCGCCCCTGGTCGCCTTCAACCCCCGGCGCATACGATTCCCGGCTTCCATTTGGTTGAGACGCCTGGAAAAAAATGTCCAGTCAAATCAATTCCCTTTAAAACCAACAGGGGAAAATAACAAAATATTAATTTCAGCAAATGGTTGCCGGAGACTTTTCCCTTTACTCGCCTTCAAACACCCGCGCGCACGATTCGCCCGCTGCGGACTCCTGGGTGAGCATCGCAATGTGATCCACGCCCTTCTGCTTGACCCAGCGGCCGATGAAGATCAGGATCTTGGCGCCAGGGTCCTGGCAAGCAGCGCGGAGCGCGGAGGTCGAGGGGTCCAGCAAAGAGCGTAGAATAAGGGTACCAACTTTTTTTTCTGTAGTCTGTTTTAGTAGGGGAACCCGAGGCTTTTTCGTGTTTTTTTTGGTGTGTGTGTGTGTTCTGTTTTTTCTTGTTTAATAGGAGGGGAGCCCTCCCCCAAAAAAGAATGGTCAGAAAGGGCACTACTGGGGGACCTGGGAGACCCCGGCCGAAAATGGTCGAGGCGTTTTCTTTTTCTGCCGGAAAGTTGGGCAGGTGAAGGCCAGGGGCCTGTCCGTCACTGCTGGAATGGCTGGGTTGGTTCACTGACCATCACCATGAGACACCTGGCCCAAACAGTGACGGCACCTAAGGTTCGCTTGCCTTCAGCATGAACAGGTCACCCATGCTTGATTTTGAGGATTCTGCTGCGACAAAATAGTTGAAGCGTTGGATTAAAGAAGCATATTCTTTAAAATTAACAAACCTAACAAACCAGTCAAATGCATAACAAGCAAGCAATGACAGCAGGTCACTAGGAACTCACTTCCGATCATGTGGACTGGCCAACAAAAAGTCGGGCACTTTCTATTCACCACTAAAATGGCCTAAACCCCAAAAAGTGACCGAAGTCCAACTCAGCAAGTGAGGCATCTCCCAAACACAAACACTCTTTCTATGGCTGCGACTCCTGGGTTTGTTTCTATCCCCAGAAGTTTCTGTTTTTTTGTCCAGCAACTCAGGGAGAGAGATCCAGGACTAATGATCATCTCACTTCCCAAGTTGACTGGATTTACCACTAAAATGGTCTTTCCAAAAAGTTTAAAGTCCACCAACTCAGGAAGTGAGTCATAGAACTTCCAATCGGCCGTTTGGAAATGGCCAAACCTCAGGTTTTCCCAGTGGCCATATTGCCTCCTTGCTTGAGTCTCAAGGGGAATCCCGCCCCATTTTAAAAAAAAAACAAAAACGGAAAAAAGGGCGGAATGAATCCACTGCGCAACAGAGACACCTGGGAGATCCCCAAAGATTGGGGAAATCACTTCAAAACCATCCAGAAGAGGTGGGGATTGGTGGGCGCATCTGTTACTTTTGGAATCCAGATTTTGAAAACGCGCCTGATCCAAATCGCAGTGCTTCTGCAAGGCCGCCTTGGCTTCGAAGCGCATCTTCCGCAGCTTGTCGATGCCTCCCGTCCGTCGAACTCGAACTTTCTGTGCGGAGGGAACACTCACCTCCATGGCCTTTTGGAAAAATAGATGGCCCTGGTAAATGGACTTGACCCCGTCTAAACCAGGAATCGCCCTGGATTTTTTAAGCAAACCAACCAACAAGGCTCACCTCTCGAGTGGATTCGTCAAAAGCTTGAGCTTGTCTACTTCAATTCGTCCCGGGAAGTCATTTGAAGTCCAGTTGAACTGAGCTGAGAAGTGGCTCCCTTTCCCCATGGAGCCCAAGAAAAGCTTGCGCTTTGGGGCTCCGGGGATTTGTGGAAACAGTCGCGTCACACTGGGCCATTGTTTTGACGGTTTTTGGGGGTTGTCAAAGTCAGACGCTGGTTGGAGGGTGACTTTGATAGTGGTGCAGTGATTTTTGACGGCTTTTTTTGGGGGTTATCAAAGTCAGAAGCTGGTTGATGGTTTCCCTTTACCATTGAGTGACTTTGATAGTGGTGCAAGAATGGGACCCATGCCAAAAGTTCTTGGACCAGGAAGTGTCTTTTTTGGGAGAGCTTCCCAAATGGGTCTCCTCTTCGCTTTAAAACCAGAAAAGGAGGGGGTGTAAACATGTATTCAAGGTGTCGTAGTTTCTTTCCAGAGCGAGCCAAATTCTGAGGTCCTAACACAAATGCCTGTCCGATGGCCCGCAAGGGCAGGAAAGCTCACTGAAGACTGACCCGAAAGGTGAGTCACAAGCAAAACCTGACGTCAGAGAGCAGAGTTGTAGCATCACTCGGTGTTTGTCCCCGCTTCTGTGATACAAGATGAAATCTCCCAAAAAATATGGGAGATTTAGTCTTCCTTTTTGTTGTATCGCAGAAGTCATCATTTCCCACAGCCCTGTCAGAAAGAGTTCACCCAAAGAAATCCAGAGGGCAGATCTGCTCAGCTGCCGGATGTGACACAATCTTGGAGCAAAGTTGCGATGCATGAAGCCCAAAAATAAACCTCTCCTACCCGCGGAAATCGATGGAGCCTTCAAGAGGTGTGGTCTGCTAATGGGGTTCCTATGAAGAAAAAAAAACAACCCAAAGTGGGCAGTGGGCACCCTCAACAAAAAAAACAACACCCCATCCGCAGCCATGTGGCCCTGGCTAAAATGCAATAAACCCCATCTAAACCAGGGCCCTCGATTCTTTGAGCAAACCAACCAAAAAGGACCGACCTATGTCCGTTTCTTATGAAAACAAAGAAGAAAAACAAGTGGTCTGCTTTTGGTTGCCTATGAACAAAAACCAACCTAAAGTGGGCAGTGGGCACCCTAAAAAACACACACACACACACCACCCACAGCAAGCGGCGCATCTCTCGACTCTCTCGAAGCCTGCGGCTCCCTGGTCCTCCGCCGGGTCGGTGGCATTGTCAAGCGGCAGGATGTTCGGCAGGCCACGGAAGAGCATGCGCTCGCCTCGGATCGGATTCATTTTCTCTGGTGCGATCGGTACATGGCTGTGGTTGTCAAAAATATGCTAACCCCAAAATGGGTTGCCCTGGTAAATGTACACTTGGACTAGAACCTGCCCCTGGTGGTTTAATTTTGACCCACACCCACATAGCCCTCTGCTAGGGTTTTCTACGCTGAGTTCAATGGTTTAAGCTTCTAGGGGTTGATTCCTTCTCCATTATTTTCAACCATTGTTCTTTTCAAATATCGGCCGGTTTTCCAGGGGTTTATGAAGGTGTTTAAGAAAGAAGGATCCCTGGAAAGAATGGGGAAGGTGCCCCTAGACCTGTTACATATTGCTTTGGCAAAACCCAAAAGGCCTGCGATTGATATATATATATATACCCTAGGTCCTCCAGTAGAGAGGTTAGAATAAGGGTACCAACTTTTTTCAGGACGTCTATTTTAGGGGAACCCTCCCCCCAAAAGAGGGTAAAAGGGCACCTAGCTGGGGGACCTAGTACCCCTTATAATGTGCTCGGAAACCAGGGAAGCCAAGGGGTATGTACTTCCACCCTTAGAGACTACTCTTCGCTCACTCCCCAAGTTGCAAGTCTGAACTCGTCTACATCAGGGGCTGCCGGAAGATTCTCCCAAAGCTTGCAACTTACTGGTGGATCTCATGGAAGGGATCGATCCACGTTTGGAGGCTCCGAAAACTTGGGAAATGGCCTGGCAACCCTGTCAAGGGTCTTGCCCAAAAGCTAAGTGCCAAGGGGAACTGGGGCAGTCAAAGGTTGGTTGACAACTTTTAGTGGGTTAAATGGAACCCCAACTAAACCAACTAAAAGAAACCGAAGGGGACGCCCAGCCGGGAACCGCCAAGAAAGTAACTAGCTACCGCTCTAACAAAAAAGCCAAGAAAAAAAAAGAGCGTGGGGCTGAAACCAAAGATTGTCTCCCAGGCATTGTTGTTTTTGTTGCTTGTCATGTTTTCACGCTTGCTCAATTAGAACCGTCCATGCTTCAAGTTGCGCTTCAGATCTGCGGCGTAGTTGGCGGAGACCGCGCAAACTCCTTGACCACCCTGCATCTCCTTGACGTAGGCAACACCTGCCTGTCACGTGTGGCGCCATTTGGGTGTGGATCAAGAATTATGTCACCAAAACGGACCCCTGCTAAACGGCGCCAGCTGGGTGTGGGTCGAGACTAGGCTAAACAAACGCAAAATGGGGTGGTAAATGGAAACATGGACACCCTGCGGTCCATATCCTGGTGGTTCTATTTTTACCCATCTGAGATTTGGCAAAGCGCTGAGGATCGCATTCTGACAAAGCCACGCAAAGAGTAGCAACAACCAAGAAGATTGTCAAGCCGAAACTTGTCTTGTCTTCCACAGACAAACCGCCATGTCAACCCTTGCAGACAAGGAATCACTGTGAAGAACAAAAACCCGAAACTTGCTGGGAGTGCCCTAAAGCGTCACAAGATGGCAGCTTGCGTTCCTTGCAAAAAAAATCGAAAGGGAGAAGCCGTGCTGCTTCGAACGGGGAATGAGCGAGCTGCCTATCCTTTGCGGTTGATTCCTTTCCAACGCTTCACTTCCCAAGGCCGAACCCCCCCAAAAAAACGAGAAAAAACCCGCCGACGCCGTTTTTAAGCACTCAGCTTCCGTGCGAGCCGGTGGTTTGGCGGTTAAGGGGTGGTTTTTCATTGACCCTCCACAAAAGCCAGAGGTTCAAGTCCCAAGCCATAAATCCAAACGACCACCAAAGGGTTGTAGTGAAAACAAAACAACCAATAGAGGAAGCAAACACATGCTCGGTCTCGTGCCTTGAGCATGTTGAAGCGCCCCTCGAACATCAAGTATTTCCGGATGGCTCTGATTTTCAGGTTGAAGACCAGACCTTGGTCAGTACTCAGTGTCTCAAGCGTTCTCAATGGACAGCCTCCAGCATTGGTGACTCTGTCACCTTGCAAACGGTATCGCACGTATTGCGGCCACTGAGCTACTCCAGGATGGAATCGATTTACACAAAACAAGCGGCGAACGCAAGGCCGGGTGGGACAGTTTGTAAAGTAGGTTGGGGGGGGCTGCCTAATTACTGCACTGTTTGCAATGCAACAAAAACTAGGTCCTCCAGTAGAGAGGATAGAATGAGGGTACCAACTTGTTTTTTGTAGTCTATTTTAGGGGAACTCTCCCCCAAGAAACTTTGTCAAAGGGCACTGGGGGGACCTAGTACCCCTTAAAAGTGGCTTGAAAACCAGGGAAGCCAAGGGGTATAAGCACCTGCAGGAAGCCCGAAGCTGACTCCTCACATGAATATAATTGGCGCAGTTCGCTTATCAAGAAGCAAATGGTATCCACAAGCCTTGGCCCCCAACGCTTGAGGGGAGTCTTGATGCGAACGAGACCACGTCAACGGTTAGGTTTCGTATGATGTTGGTCTGCCCCTTCGACGTGATACTGAACCAACGCCGACCAACGCCACTTGGCATCAAAGCCAAAGGCACCTAACGCGCATCATTGTCAGAAATCATCCGATTCTCATTGTTGATGGGCACTGGACAAAGGAGATGAATCGACACTGAATGCAAGCAAGATCCAAATCCCTCGGCAAATGCTCAGCAAATGCTGGCCGAAGCTGCAAGGATCGCATGCAATGGAGGTCCCGCAAACCTCCTTCAATGGAGGGTCCAACTCTTAGGGATTGGGGTCAGGACCTGAACCAACACCCTCCCTCCAATCATGGAAGCTCACGATCGGACTCGACCGCTTTCCTTTTTGGGGAAGCTCCCCCCCCTTTCCATTTCCATGGTTCTTGGAAGCAGGCTACGCAGGTGTTGTTACGCTGCGACAACGCCATCAGGTGTCCATCCCCTGACAACCTGCCTGGTTCTGCGCCTTGAATCAAGGGAAACAAGGGTGAAATCACCGCAAAACCGGGGTCAATTTCAGGTGTGGTCTCCATCCTCATGATAACATATCATTGTACATATATATATATATACACAGAAACCCAAGTGGTGGTTGAGAACCTTACGTAGTTGAAATATGGGGGTTGATCAAAAGGTCCTTTACATGGCATGACCATTGGCTGGAAAAACAATAACAATAGCGTGTTTCCCACTAAATGGGAAAAGCTGCCCTTGGTCATTTGGGGGCCGAAGGGAATATTGGTCAACCCCCATATTGAAACGTGAAGAACTAGGCGGAAAGAACTTGGCGGAAAGAACTTGGTGGTTGCAAATTTTAGTCTTTGGACGTTGAGCTTCCAGGCAGTGCTGACAGGTCCTGACAACTACTCTGGGCGTGTGTTTTTTGAGGGTACCCTCCTGTCCACTAACATGGAACCCGCCAGAGGGTCCCTTTCAAAGGAATCGTCTTCCAGGACCGAATAGTCAAGTTCCATGTTAATGGACAGGAGCGTACCCTTCGGTTGGTGTTCAGAACCAAAGGACAGTCCCCCCGTTTTGACATGCCCCATATGCAATTCAATTAACAAGTGCGCATATCTACATCTAAGTGCACAAGTGTGTATCTTTTTATATATACACAAACACATATGTAAATGTTCCGTACATGTATATATATATGTATATATATATATATATATACGCAAACACATATGTAAATGTTCCGTACATGTATATATATATATTAATGCAAAATAACATAGTTGAATAGACATATGCAATTAAGTTTTAATCTACGGTTTAGTCAATGAGCTTGAACCCCTTCCCGCCATCGGGTCCCCGGGCTAAGGCGTCGCATGGAGGGCGTGGTCTTCCAGAAGCGGTCGTTGATGAAGTCCGTCTCGATGACCCCTGCGCTCGCCCGCTGCCCGAGGGACTTCGGGCTTCGTGTCCGAGACCCGCTTCCGGAGGTGTGCCAGGTGTTTGAGGGCGGCCTTACAAACAGTGGCTGTTAAAAGGGAAACGCGATGGAACTGCATTTTTCGAAGCAAAGCAGACGAAACCAACTCGGTCCAGTAGAGCGTTCAACTTGTGGAAATGGAACACCCCCTTGGTTTCAACCAGAATTGTCAAAGTCCAAAGATCCGAACCCGCCAATAGCTATCCTCGGTCCAGTAGAGAGGTTAGAATAAGGGGACCGTTACTTTTCTTCGGTTTTGTCTATTTTAGGGGAACCCTCCCCCAAAAAAGGTTGGTAAAAGGGCACTACTGGGGAACCTTGATTAAGCCAGCATGAAGAAATTGCTCCATCCAGTGTCACCCCAACCCTAAGATGATGTAGTTCTTCTTTTTAGGGTTGAAAGGGACACGGCAATGACTGCTGAATGTATCATGCTTTGTGACACCTTACTCTGCGACTCTGCTGAAAAACCCGGCAAAGAACCCAAAAAGTGCTCGTCCCCCAAACGGAGATTCCTCTGCAGGGAGCAAGTCCAATGGGGCAGAGCAAGTCCAATGGGGCAAAACACAAAGCACCTGATGTCCAAATGCTAAAACATCCGCCCCCCACATAAAGAACACCACAACCAACAAAAACTTCGGTGTTTCTGTTGGGAGCTGCACCAGTTGGGGGTACCCTGCATGTAGATACACTGCAAATGTAAATGAAGGTATTGATTTGCTGTCACATAGTGACGCCATGCGGAGTCCAGAGCATAAGACTGTATCCTATCGCAACATGCAGGCATCAGCGCATCAAGTGTCCAGACCTGGTCTAGGTCCTCCAGTAGAGAGGGTAGAATACGGGTACCAACTTTTGCCGGTTTTGTCTATTTTAGGGGAACCCTCCCCCAAAAAACTTGGTCAAAGGGCATTACTGGGGAACCTAGTGGTGCATACCGGCCGCGCTCGGGCCGGCAACATGCCACCAGCGCACGTGTCAGAATTGCTAAGTGGGCTCCACTGCACAGCAACAAATGATGCACCATGGAATCTAGGCGTGTCGGATCTTCCCAGGATGAAGTTTCGTTCGCCGGTCATTTCATGGATATGCTGCCGCGATTGTAGTACTTTACAGATGCTCAGTGGCCATGGGGGAAAAAAGGGCATCCTTGTTGGGTTGCTTTTTTGGGTTGACTTTACAGGGGAACCCTTCCAAGAACATGGGAAGAAGGGGCACCACTGGGCAACTGGGTTCATCCTGAGCTCCTACCATCCCACATTTGTGTGACTCACTCACAGGAGACCTTCGTCCTCAAGCGCTCTTCCTCAAGTGGCGTTCTGGTCACGGAAGCTCCAGCGCGCAGGTGGCCACTTTGGAACGAATTCCATGCTGGCAACCTGGGCCTGCACAACTAAAAACTGGAGAATGAATGCCTGGCTGATTGGACACCTCCAGTTTGCTCGGTGGCTCGGGGTTTAAAAAAGCCAGCTCGGGCTGATTGGCTCCCCAAAAACTGGTGGGATGTCCAAGTGTCTGATGGATCCTAGAGAGAGCACAAAGGGCTTTCTCAACTGAGACTCTAGTCTGAAGGCACAAACGGGCTTTTTGGGACCTTTGTCTTGGAGTGTCTGGGACACTAAAGTTGAAGTATCTTTGAAAGATTCCCTGAGAGCCATCCCGATGTCACTCGGGGGTTTTGGGGCTCCGGCCCATATAGTCCGCATTGTGGAGGACCAGGATCATTGGCAATGGCTTCTCCTGGCCGGGCACGGCCACGTTGGGTAGGGATCGTGGGCCAAGTGCTCGCTTAGAAAGTCGAGATGAAAGAAAGAAAGAAAGAAAGAAAGAAAGAAAGAAAGAAAGAAAGAAAGAAAGAAAGAAAGAAAGACAGGAAGAAATAAGTCAAGAAATAAATAAATAAATAAAGAAAGAAACAAAGAAACCAAAGGAAACAGAAACATGTGCATGCTGCGAAAGCCGTGTTGATAACAGCGCGTAGCGAAAGGCAAAGCGATACATGTGTGGCCCTTTGCATCAGGCTGCATCTTGTGCCATAAGTGGCTGGGTCTGTGAAACAAGAAAAGAAGGAACACAAAAAGGAAACACATCATGCCACCACGGGATGGATATCCATGAATCTCTTAACATAGGCAGCCCCAAACCTGTGATTTCCCGTGGCGTTCCCTTCAAAAACACTACAATACGGCTGTGGCGGAAACCCACAGTGGCACTTTGGTAGATGGGAACAAAGACTAAAGCCTTCGTAGCCCGAGCCACTCCCATATCTTCCTCCAGTGGGGCTCGTGGCTCACCTTGAAACAATACCCAACTGAAAGGTCTTCAGCTCCCCTCCAGCCCTTTGGTTTCCTTTGCTTTGGAGGTCCATTCTCCCCCTGCAAGAACCACCAACAGTTGCCTACCGTCCTATCGTAAACAGAAACACAAAACCAGTCTGGTCCTGTGCCAGACCCGGCCCTCAGTGGACGCTGAAAACTCAGCGGATCCGCTGCTCGGGCCCCCCTCCATCCGTCCACACCCCTTCGGGTCGAAGCCATCTCCCCGGCCTGCAAGTAGAGCGGCGCCAAGGCCGCGTGGTAGTCCATGCAGTGGTAGATGTCTGGGTTCAGCATCCTGAAGCAGACCAGTTGCTTCAGCCCCGGGAAAAAGTAAAGATATGTTCGGTAGTGAGTGGCTCCTGTTGAAACCAACAGAACAACAAATATTCTGAAACAAATGGAAGGAAGCGGACCATTGGACGAATCATGGGCTGGCGCAAGCAAGCAATGTGTCGCTCACGACCGTTGGCCGGAGATAGCAGTCATAGCACACACACACACACATCAGCCATGTGAGCTGGGTGTTGATGGATCTGTTAGTGTGCGGTCTCTCGCTGGTGATCAGCGTTTAGCACCTGAGGTATCTTGCGGTTTCTCAGCAAGAGGGCTATGGCGTTTATACTTAGCTCTGCTTGCATTAACTCAAGGACGGCGGTCAAAGTCATCGCACGATTAATTCTTGTGATACTTTACTATTGCCTGCGGGGGGTGGGTGGGAGATTCGGTATATTGAACACTAGACATTGCTTTGACTGCTGCACATCCCCCAACTTCATACTGTACATGATCCAGCAGTAGCATTGCATCGAACCTGACGTTTCAGCGAATGTAGGAAAACCACTCACCCAACCAGAAGAAATGATCAACAAGGCGATGCCAGTGCAAGCCAAAAGCACTGGTGGTTGCGTAGACGAAATGACTGATATTCGCAGTTGCTGCTGCTGGTGGCGTCGCTGCTGATGTTGCTGCAGTCATGGTTGTGCTTGGCGCTGTTGCTGTAGTTCTGGCTCTGGTTGTGGTTGTGATTGTGAGTCAGGCTGTGGTTGTGGTTATGGTTGCCGTTGTTTCTGTTGTTGTTTCTGGTTCTGTTGTTGTTGTTGTTGTTGTTGTTGTTGTTGTTGTTGTTGTTGTTGTTGTTGTTGTTGTTGTTGTTGTTGTTGTTGTTGTTGTTGTTGTTGTTGTTGTTGTTGTTGTTGTTGTTGTTGTTGTTGTTGTTGTTGTTGTTGTTGTTGTTGTTGTTGTTGTTGTTGTTGTTGTTGTTGTTGTTGTTGTATTGTTGTTGTTGTTGTTGTTGTTGTTGTTGTTGTTGTTGTTGTTGTTGTTGTTGTTGTTGTTGTTGTTGTTGTTGTTGTTGTTGTTGTTGTTGTTGTTGTTGTTGTTGTTGTTGTTGTTGTTGTTGTTGTTGTTGTTGTTGTTGTTGTCGTTGTTGTTGTTGCTGTGGTTGTTGTCGTCGTCATCGTTGGTGCTGCTGTTGCCGTTGCCCGTTGCCGCTTGCCGTTGCGGTTGCTGTTGCTGTTGCTGCTACTGCTGTTGCGGGTCCGGTTGAGGTTGCGGTTGCTGTTACTGTTGCTGTTTTTGTTGTTGTTGCTGCTGCTGTTGTTGTGGTGGTCATCATCGTCGTCGTCGTTGTTGTTGGTGGTGTTGTTGCTGCTGTTGTTGTGGTGGTCATCGTCGTCGTCGTCGTCGACGTTGTTGTTGGTGGTGTTGTTGGTGTTGTTGTTGTTGTTGCTGCTGCTGCTGCTGCTGCTGCTGCTGCAGTTGCTGTTGCTGTTGCTGTTGCTGTTGTTGCTGTTGCTGTTGCTGTTGCTGTTGCTGTTGCTGTTGTTGTTGTTGTTGTTGTTGTTGTTGTTGTTGTTGTTGTTGTTGTTGTTGTTGTTGTTGTTGTTGTTGTTGTTGTTGTTGTTGTTGTTGTTGTTGTTGTTGTTGTTGTTGTTGTTGTTGTTGTTGTTGTTGTTGTTGTTGTTGTTGTTGTTGTTGTTGTTGTTGTTGTTGTTGTTGTTGTTGTTGTTGTTGTTGTTGTTGTTGTTTGTGTGTTGTTGTTGTTGTTGTTGTTGTTGTTGTTGTTGTTGTTGTTGTTGTTGTTGTTGTTGTTGTTGTTGTTGTTGTTGTTGTTGTTGTTGTTGTTGTTGTTGTTGATGTTGTTGTTGTTAATGTTGTTGTTGTTGTTGTTGTTGTAGTTGTAGTTGTAGTTGTAGTTGTAGTTGTTGTTGTTGTTGTTGTTGTTGTTGTTGTTGTTGTTGTTGTTGTTGTTGTTGTTGTTGTTGTTGTTGATGTTGTTTTTGGTTTTGTTGCTGTTGCTGTTGCTGTTGCTGTTGCTGTTGCAGCATCGTCGTTGTTGTTGGTGTTGTTGGTGTTGTTGTTGTTGCTGCTGCTGCTGTTGTTGTGCTGCTGCTGCTGCTGCTGCTGCTGCTGCTGCTGCTGCTGCTGCTGCTGCTGCTGCTGCTGCTGCTGCTGTTGTTGTTGTTGTGGTTGTTGTTGTTGTTGTTGCCGTGTTTGTTGCTGTTGCAGTTGCAGTTGCAGTTGCAGTTGCAGTTGCTGTTGCTGTTGCTGTTGCTGTTGCTGTTGTTGTTGTTGTTGTTG